AAAGCAAACACCAAATCTTTATAAATTAATGCTATGAATTAAAAGTCCCCCTGGTTTTTCACAGCATGCCTTCATATTTTTTGATGACTAAATTTCCATGCTTTCATGCTGATTGCTCCTAAAATACCTGGTAAACAGGATGTAGCATATTCTATTCTTTTTTATAAAGACTAAAATCTGAGTAATTTGATCTCAGAGCAGAAGAATCACCTCAGTACTTCTCTTTGCTGTTGAAGATTAATTTTTACTAGCCACTTAGAGGGCTAAAGAGTGCATTACAATGAACACTATTATTCAAATTCAGGAGAATGAAAGCCAGCATTTCTGAACAGGGGGGAAATGATTTTTATTAGAGCCATTCACACAGCTCTATAATTCAGATTAATGTAAATAACTGTATGTATGTGGAAAATACAGAAGTAAACAAAAAGGACTATGAAGAATCATTTTCTGGCTCACTGATTCTAGATCAACACTAGTGATTAACAGGCAGTTTTCAAAGTTTCAGTCTAATACTCTCTGCATTCCTATCTCTATCTCGTGAACAAATCAGCTCTGTTAAGTTTTGCATGTTTGTTCTAGAAATGTTGTGAAGACCTGACTCCATTTAGATTAGAATTAGTTTCAGTAGGTCAAATTCTGATAATTTTGCTCACTATGAGAAATGCTCAGCAATAAATCTTGCCAAAACTTGCATTCAGATACAAGAAAAATAAAGGCAGAAAAATGCAGCCTTTGTTCTTACAGTCAGCGTTAGAAATATGAAAATGCAGGTATTTAAGTTTTATCCCAAACTGAATGGTTTTAATCTGACAGTTGTTTTTTTGTTGTTTGGGTTTTGTTTTGGTTTTGTTTTGAGGGGTTTTTTTAGAGCAGAGTTTCGAGTTTGGGCATGTGTTCATTACTCTCTAAGCATAGGGGAAATATATTCCAAAATATTTTTTATTCCCTCCTGCACTTTACCACATCACACTTTCTATATTTAGAGTGATTAGATTTATTTACTTTGCATAGCAACTCAACTAAAATGAGTAAAGAGCTGAACCCATTCTTGCAAATATCTGTTTACATACCCTGATTTCTGTGTAAGTAGTGGCCAATTAAAACTTTGTAAGTAGAAGGAAGCACCCTTAGCCTTTGAAATTTGAAGGTAAATATGCAACATATATGAGAATTTCAGGTTATTGCTTTCCAATTAGAAACCAGAGCACAACTCCATTGTCCTTTTGACAATGAAACCTGCCTGTCATATTTGCAAGCATACATGAATTAAACATATCACCTAAGCATAATGTTCTTGCATCTTAGAACTGGGTCCTAGAGCTTCTCAATCTAATGCATTATAAACATGAAAAGGGCAGCAAACACTGCTTCAGAGCCTGCCAGTACTGCAGCCACACACAGAAGAATCACCCAAGCTGATGGAGCTCCTCCAGTGGCATACATCTGGGAGGTAAAGTTCTTGTTGAGTGGCATCCAAGGTCTCATCATGCACTGGAAATGTCCAGCTGCCCCCGCTGCTGTTGGCATCTGCTGCAAGTTAGTTAAGGCTGTTTGCCTGTAGACCACTTTCATATACCCAAGGGTACCAGCTAGGCACTAAACCAACCATAGATCAAGGGAGAGACTAGCTTGATTCCTCCTTTTCAGTCCAAATCCTCAGATGTACTTTGTGCTTTTCAATGATGGCAGAAGCTCTGAGCCATAAGCTGAAACTCCAGGGCAGTGGAAGCGCTGTTGTAAGCCTGTGCGTGGGTGTAGGCGACTGTGGGTCAGTGGAAAACAAAGGCAGGAGATGAGAAAAGGAAAAGGGAACATAAAAAGTACTGAAAGGACTGTGCATAGGGCAATGTTTTGGAGACAAACACATGCTGCTCCCTCTCCAAAGCTGCAGTGTTGTTGCTGAGGGAGGGACTCATACTGTCCTTAGAGCCCCATGGTCAGGCTGCTCACCAGAGTTCAAGAGCATTAGTGCTGGTTTGAATGACAGCACATTGCCTCCAGGAGCTCCTGCTGGGCTGCACACCTCAGCGCTACTTCTGAGCCAAAACAGCGACGCTATGCACTATCTAGCCCAGAGATGTTTTTAATTTTGTTTGATTTCTCTCAGAGACAGGATTAGAAATCTGGAGCTCAAGGCCCCCTGCCTCATGCCGACACTGATGCACGTCACCTCCCTCTTACCAGTGTGTCACAGAGGTTGAAGATCTCTTCAGCAGTTGGACAAAGGGATATCAAAACAGAAAGCCCATATACTTTTCTTTCAAAGCTATTACTTGCAGAAAAATATGTTTCAGACTTTGCCTGCCACGTTCCAAATACAGGAAACCTCGTTCATGTTTGCAAGTAGTTCAGCATGGCTTTATAAAATCTTCCCCAGCAGAATGAACACACTTAAAATCAACTCCTCTTTTGAAAATCTAATGCTTTGCATCTAGGATGAAACAGGCATAGACTATTTACAGTCAAAAACCTGATATAATGCAACACATGGAGTGTGTACTGATGTACTCTGTAAAATATTATTTCTGAACAACTACAAATGATATATGTAAAATTAAATGTGGAAACCTGTTCAACTGCTGTATGGATTGAATTTTTCCCTTTCCTTTTGGCTGAATCTCTTGCTGCTATTATTAGGATGCCCACTGGGTGCAGGGTACCTTCATGGAAAATGGTATCTGTTGGAATTAATCAGCAGTGCTTTAGGTGCACTTTGCTTCCTCCTCAAAAAAGCCGAGGAATAAACATTACTGCCTATTTCCAAATGTCTCCCATGGCCTTATTAAATGTGGCTGTGGCAGCAGAAAGAATGTATCTCTTTAACAGCATATTGCAGCATTTAAAAGAGCACAGATGTGCTGAGATTGTCCATCATGCAATTCATTTTGAACAAAGCAAGTCTTTAGAAGAAAAAGCAAGGGCTTGATCTGGCAGATTCTCTGGCAGCTTTGTTATGGCAGGGAAAGAAGATCTCTAGTAGCAGCATCTGAACAAGAGGAAATTAATGTTTTCAAACAGTTTTGTAAAACTCATTAGAAAAACAGTCCCGATGAATAGGATAAATAAAATCCTGAAGGAGGTATCCTTTAGCAGTACTAGGGCAAGCAAGGATCTTAATCTTGCATTTAGGCAAGAAGACTACAAAGCATTTTTCACTACCTGAGATTCTTAATCATTTTGATTAAACTTTTGCCCCACAAAACAGGCAGGATGCTGTTTTCTCAGGTTCAAAGGCTATTTTTTACATATTTATAGACTCTCAAAACCAGAAGCTGTGTGTAGACTGATGACTGGAGGACAGGCTGCTATAATGTCCTATTTTAGTAGTTTTCCCCTCTACAGTAGAGTTTCTCCTCTTTCCTGGGACAGAAGGAACATTTTTGCAACAAGATGTAAGCCACTCTGAACACTGGTACCACTAACAGTGCTGCCAGGTTCTTTCCTTCCATGGTTCAGCTGAGCCCCAGAAAGCCTGCCACCTGGTTTGGTAACTCGCTGTCCTCTCCTTGAACCCCAGAACTAGTCCTGGCTTGATATGTGTGTGTAAGACTCACCCCAGAAGACCCTAGTATGGTGTTGCCCCAGTAGGGTTGTGCATGCTTAATGACACCTGTGAGGGTAACCATCCTGTAGCAGCACACAGACAATACTGCAAAGCTCAGTCTTCTCCAGAGTTGTCACAGCTTCTGAGATTCTCAGTTAAGTCCCTTTCTGCTCAGCTGAAATCTTCCATCTGTCTGCTGCTGCTCTCCTCTTGTCGGCTGTGTCCATACTGTCTGAGCACAACTGAGCAGCCAGGACTGGGCAGCAGCTGAGCCCAGACTGCAGGTGAAGAGTCCCATGAGAATCACAGCAATCTTACTATGTCCATCCTTCTTCTCAACACCCAGAGGAAATCCTGGATAGGGATGCTCATGCTCCTCAAAGGCTTTCTAGATGACCAGGAGACCAAGACCTTAGTGCTAACAAAATACACTGAGAGAGGAAGGATGAGTTGAAATCGCTATGAATGTAAGCCAAATCCAAAGTAATATATAACCACAAGGTACAAACCTGATGCAGCCACCGTCTTCAGCATCTTCAGTTCTTCAGCATCTGAGGAAAACCCTTAGGGACACATCTACCTAACAGGGGAGAAATTTTGAGGGGTTGGGTATAAAGGAATCTAAACTACTTTACCTAATATGTTTATTTTAGCCCTCAGTTGGTTTTTTTTATAACTTTCAGTTTTTCACAGCCTTGTTCCCTCCAAGGCTTTCATACAGCCCTTCCTCCTTTTCTTTGTTGAAGGCATGTCTCCAAGGAGTTTCAAAACATAGCCTGAATCTATCTTTAATTTATAGTGTTGAACCTTATTTCCCCAAAGGTACTAGTTCAAACATACTGTCAACCTCATCTTTACATTTCACCTCTTATGCCATGCATTCCATCTTTAACACAGCTCTGATAGCTCTGTATTTGGGATATGGAAATATCTCAGAGGAAACCAAATGTTTACAGAAGTTCACTTTGCTACTGCATAAAATCACTCTCATTTCTCTCTGCCAAACAATATGTGAGGTGAGAACCAGATTGTTTATTGTACAAATGCAAAACCAAGGCATATAAGAGCAAACAACAGTGGAAGAAAATTCAGACCCAAGAACTGCTTGAAGTCACACAGTGGTATGTGAGCAAGTTAATAAAATTTGTGGTCTAAAGGAAAGAAAACTCTTTTTAGTGACTTGTAAATGTAGAAAATAAAACAGCCTATGCTTATTCCAGAGCAGTTTTTCTCTATGTATCTGTGCGCTGTGCAACAGCTCTGCCAAAGCTTTGAGACACTGGCAGATTAGTAAAACTGTAGTGTATGTTAGCACTGCAGATCCCTGGCACCATCTGAGATTATTTCCAGTTCACATGCACAATATGTCATGCTGTGATGCATGCACATGGAGAGTTTTGGGCATATTTTGGGGTCTTCACTTCCTGAAATCTTCACTTTTGAGCACATGCAGATAAGTTGTTCTGTTATGAAAATATTACATACTTAATTACCTTTTTGAATTCTACTAAGGTGCCTTGGGGATTTGTAATTAATTCTAATTCAAATAATTCTAATTCCAAAGCAATTCTAAGCAATATTTCAGTCATTCTCTACAGATAGATTTTGTATGGATGGCAGATGTGCAATCATTCATGTGCTCAAGTCCAGATCTCAGCAGGTAAAAAGTGGAGGGAAATGAAAAAATGTCCCATTAGATATTATGCTCAGTATAGTTTTATCCTGTTTTTGAATGTGAAAATCATTTACACACATAGGAGGAGCGTAAACTGTTAAGGACCTGCAAAGGGCTGTTAGTCTAATGATGTTCCAAATTTCTTCTTTTATTACCTCTGTAGGGTTCATGTTCTTCACTGATCCCTTACCTATCAATAAATTTCCTATTTAAGAAGTGTCCCTTGGAGGGTACCAGATGATGATGGTATTGAGTGGAACAGAACAGCTAATATTGTATCATGGTTGATGAGAATCCAGTAAAAGCATTGACATGACACTGTTGAACTGTCAAAGAAAAAACTATCTGAAGGCTTGAAACTGTGGTAAACTCTGCATCTCAAAAAGAAGCTGCTTGTTTTCCTTCCTACTTGTAAGTTAAAACAAGGAACTGGTTTAATTGCATCATCTTTACAAATATTTAAGTAAAAATTTTTGAATTATAGTAGAAAAAATCCCAGGTGACTGTTTTCAGGTAGGTAAGCCTTTGATTAAAAAATTGAATGGAATTTCTGTATCAGATTTAAAATGGAAGTCACATTTCAGTTTTGACTATGGAATGGTTACGGTTCTCCATGTTTTATATTCCCTGCCAATTCATAAAATATGTCAATGATCTGCTCATAAGGTGATGCCAATTATATAAATATATCACAGAGTATGTAAGGGAAAATTTCATTGGATCACTTTGTTAAATCCATGAAGGATATGTGTATGCTGATAATAGTGCTTGGTTTCTGTTAGAGTACATAGTGAACTTCACTTCAAACTGCAAAATGAATTTGCAGAAGATAAATTGTGTAACAAGATTTTTGCATGCACATGAACCAGTAAACAGTCTATTCATACTAGGGCTCATCACTTTTGTAATCCATCCTGTAGGGGGTCAGTGCTAAAATTAAATTATACCTGCCTACCATTCTCAATCTAATCAGGCTGTGAACTGAAAAATAAAACAATTAAAATTAGAGACAGGACAGCCTCCCACTGTTTATGATCTCATTCTATTTGTGAAGAGTAGGTGGAAATTCACCCATGGTGAGCATTTGCTTTATGTCAGTTTTTTCTTGTTATTACAGCTGGGGCTTATTTTGTGAACTGTTTGCAGCTATTTCTGCTAAAAATAGGTGGATACCAATTTAAACTTCCTGGCGATATTTCAAGCCAAAGTATCATTAGTAGATAGTTATTATGCTGCATTTTATTGTAAGAGATCCTGCCATGAAGCCAATCTATACAAATATAAATAAAGACAGTTAGAATTACCTTCCAAACTACTCAATTGGAGGTTATTCATGTTTGGTTTAGCAAAACAAGCTAAGCTATTTTCAAGAAAATTTATTAGATGCAGGAACACTGAGTTAATGAGACTTCTTAAAACTCCTTAGCAGGTTAGACTGTGACACTTGGAGAGAGATTGGGGATCAGTTTTGCCTTTTTGCCTCAGTCCTAAGCAAGAGAAACCTGTAGTTCTCCCCTGGTTTCCTAGGAATATAATTTCTTTTTATCACTACTTCCTTCTCTGCTGTGCAGTCTCATAACAAAATCATCTTCCTGAAACATATTCCCTCACAAATAAACAAAGTGATAATTAGATACAGAATTCCTTATCTTCTAATGACAGCAAGGGCCGAAATGTGAGATCACATAATGATGATTTGATCAAACTTCTGCCTGTACTTTCCTAGTGAGCCATGACAGGATTTATACCTTGGCCTGTGAAAATTTTCAGATCCAATTTCCATTAAAGTTTTCATTAGGAACCTCAGGGTCTCAGGGAAACTGCTTATACCATTTCCAGAATCTCCATCCTAAACCTATGAGCTGATAGTGTGGCTGCAGCCATCAAAGAGTTGATATTTCATTTCCATATTAGGAAACATTTCAACACTGAAAGGGTTGTCAAGCTCTGGAATATAATGCCCAGGAAAGTGATTGAGTCACCAATCCTGGAGGTATTTAAAAGATGTTTTAATGTGGCACTTAGGGACATGGTTTTGCAGTAGATTTGGCAGTTTGCTGGATTGGACTGAATGATCTTAGAATCTTTTGCAACCTAAACAATTCTGTGAATCTATGATTCTATCTGCTGTTATAGTACATGACTTTTGAGACCGGTGCAGGAATACCGTAATCTGGTTTTGGCTGTGAATCTCAGTGGTAAAGGGATCAATCTATTGTCAAAGTCAGTAACGTGTTCAGGAGTGTCCAGCAGTAAAATTTTACCAGGTTACTAAGTGTGTGACTACTGAGTGTTGTGTTGTGAAGAGCTAGCTAGGCTAGTTGCAGAGTTAAAGGTACATCATTAAAGAAATGACATCCAGCCATGTTCTCTGTTCCTGAAGACAAGATACAGCAGTGCCTGAAAGGAACAAACCCTCTTCAGGTGTTGTCTAGAAAATGCTGACTGCCCCAAGCTAAAATGCTACCTGTTAAACAGCACAGAGAATCATCTACTATTACTTGTGCCATGTGTACTGGTCCAGTCTAGTCTGCTGTCAGAGTCAGAAAGTTATTGTGTGTATGGCACAAGGCATAGCAGCACTACCCCTAAGCTCATTAGCCCCATGGAGAAACAAAGAATATGAGCAGAGTTGGTACCATTACGATAGTACCATTACCATAATAATGAAATTGCATTTCTTCTTGGTTATTTTTTTTTTAGGTAATATCCTGTTGAAATAATTGTAATGCTTTGGAGTGATGTTCATCTAATTCACCTAACTAGACAGCTAATTGTCCAGAAGACAGGGGTCTAGCCTATACTAATTGTTGAGTTTACTTTGCCTCTCAGTCAAATCTTTCTTCCTAACTTAACTACCCCTTTTTAGTCTGGAAAGGATCTCTGAATGTCTGTGTCCCTCTGTGGTCAGTATCTAGGCATCTATTTTCAAACAATTTAAAGTAGCTGAAATGGGAAGAAACATGGGGAAAGAAATAGTTCTGAGAAGAAGAAAGGGGGAAAATGGAATCAATCTGGTTGCACAACTCCAAAAGCTGAGCTGTTAGGCTGGTTTCCAAGAAAGGCCTTTAAGTGTGCAAGTGTTTCTTTATGTTTCTTTCTAAAGATGTTAAGAATGCACATCTCAAACATTCAAGCAGAATGGTTTAGACATCTTGTTCTGGCAGTGTAACACATAATGCCAAATCAGATGCCTAGGGATCAAATATATAAAATTGAGGAAATTTCCTTATCCAGTTGAGAATTACAACAGTGAGAAAACTGATGTTTACAGTATATTTGCTCCCTTAGTTAACTATCCGATTTTAAAAATAACACCTCTGTAAAACTGATATTCAAAATGTATTTTATTCTGCCAGTGTTTGCTTTCTTTTGTCAGATGTTTGCACCATCCACCCTTAAACTGCAAGACCTTGGTGCTAGGATCTCAGCTACTTGGGCAAACCTAATACACTCCTGTGGACAAACAGCGACTTTACTCATCCTTCACCATTCACCTAAAATTTGGGATGAGATAACATTCAGGAAGGATTAGGAGAACAAACGTCCGAAGCAGACAGAGGAGCGGAGAACCAATGATGAGAGTCAACAGCACCCAAAAAAGAAAAATTGTTGGGGAAAATGTTGAGATCGCCTGTTTTACAGAAAAAAAAATTATATGCTTCCTAAGCATATATGACAAGGAAGATTTAACTAGAACTCAAACTGTTTAAATTGTGTGAATATAGGAGGGTTTTCAATGTCTGTTTGGAAAGAGAGAGTTCTTAGACATTTTGCAAAAGCAATAAAATAGTGGTATTGATACACAGAGAGAGATGTTTTCTCATTTGCAAAGCAGGAGAGAAGGAGGGTCTAAAATGATCTCCACAGTTACAGAATCTGTCAATGAGTTTTTTTAACAACACCAGCAGGGAATTAGCAGCTGACAGGGTTTCAGAAAAAGGGTGAGGAATTTGCTTTTATATCTACTATACTTCAGGGGAGGTGGAATATACAGAATATCTTAAGAGAGACAATAAAGGCAAATTTGGTGAAGGGAGAGATGACAATGAAGATGTTGATATGAGAATGACTGATATAAAAATAATAAATGAAATTTTGTCTTCAGTTAGTCTCTTAAAGAGATATTAATCCCTAACAAAATCCTGCATCTAACAAAGAAAAAAAGGGTGGGAGGATTTCACTAAGGTAGTGGAAGAGCAGCAAGAGAAAGCAAGTGGGAAACCAACAGTGAATATCAAAATACCCAACTAAAGGATAGAATAGCACAAAGGAGAATGTGATCTGAAATGTAAAGAAGCTTTAGAGAGTTTGAGGAATAGGGAGAAAAAAGGGAGGTCAAGACTGTCATACCTAATCTTCTTTTTTGAAAGAGTAATTAAGAGATTGCAAAGGAAAGGTGAAAGGCTAGAAAACAGGAGTGTTTTAAGAAGGTGTCAGAGGCTGTAATTAAGCTAAGGACAAAGGCAGGCAAATAACTTGATTTCATGATATTGTGGGTACAGGGGAGAGGCAAGGCAATTAATTTTTTTTTATTATTATACTACAGAAACAAATTTACTTTATAAATTTAAGAAGTAGTAGAAGCTCCAATAAATTTATTCAGCTCTTTCCAGTGCAGAGCACATCATATTTACATAAATATATTCAGATGATTTAGCCAAATCTGTCATGCAGATGATATGCTAAAACTTCAGTCTTTTAAAACTTTGTATCATTATGATGCTGTAGCTTACATGCCTACAGTTGATTAATCATTTAATAATGATAAAATGGAGTATAAGAACTATCAAACTGGAATTTTTACTCTTTTTACTTCACTAAGTGACCATGTACAATTGCAAGTTACCGTACTGTGTGAAAGACGGAAGGGACTCATGCCGCTTGTACCAAAAGGAGATTTCAAAAGACAGATGAGCTATGTTTCTTAAGAGGATGAAAAAGGCCTGAAGAATACTGAAAATGTATTTTCATTTTGCAGATAACTGACGTAAGCCAAAAAATTGTGTCCCATAAGTTAAGAATGCCCCTGGATGTGCTATTACGAGCAAATCACACTCATGCAAGGGGTTGCCAGAGGAACTCGGTTGTTCAGCTCCATCCTGATTCTTCCAGACTTCAGTCATTGGAAACAGATTCCAACTGACAGGCATCGAGATGTGACAGTTTTGCCTGGAATATTCACACATTACCTGCTGGAACTCTTGGAAATCTAGTACAGAGGGGCCAAATTCTGCAAGGCACTAAAGCAAAACAAAACCACCCCACTCTCCAACTTAAAAAAAAATCCTCTCTAATTTCAGACTGATGTTACACCTTAACAGCTTCCACATACTTCTTCTCTTAGACTTTCAATAGCTGGAGGATTGTCCCTTCAGAAATATTGCTTCCTGTCACTGAGTTTTATCAAAATGGAGTCTCACAGGTTAATGCCTTTTTGTCCTTTTCCCTTTTCTTTCTGCAAGCGCCTATCATTAATGACTTTTTTACTCTTGAGAAAGCTAATAACTTACTATTAAGGAATTGCAAATCTGCATGTAGTTATTTGGCAACAGTAAGCTGTGTTTATTTGTTAGAGACTAAAATAACGGGCAATGAATTCCAGTGCCGCCAGCAGTCAAAACTTCTCTAATACACCTCTATTTCTGCATTAGTTTAGGGTGAAACACGACCAAATCTCTTCCAAACAAAAGGCACTTCTGTCAGTGGACTGTTTCACTGAGATAAGAATAAAGGAAAAATAAGTCTTTATGCTTTTAGCACAGATTGTTTACCTTGTGATAGATGTAGGTAAGTCTATCATTGGGGAAAGTTGCATTTCAGTTGACATGATTGAAAAGTATATTAAACCTCTCCTTTTTTTTTTTTTTTTTTTTTTTTTAAGCAAAGTATGACCGGAATTAACTCTTTCTGTTAAGTCCTGTTTTAATGCATCAGCCTGCCTTTTTCTGTTCTTGGGTTGGGTTTTTAAAAATTAAAAACCCCAAACACATCTGTACCCATGAAATGTGGCCTCTTTGCTACCAGCTTAGTATCAGATTTTAGCAATTACACGGTCATTTCTCTTCACTGACAGTTAAAGTCACAAGGCATAGCTGCCATTTACTTTACTGAGACCAGGATTTGAACTACTTTGTCTGGACTGATCCAGTCTGGAGACCTCTGTGTTGTCTCTGTTATTCACCCTTCACAACCAGCGTAATACCACAATTCTACCCAAAGGAGGCCAGCACACTCCTAGAGAGTTTCTGTTATTCCTAAGTACAAGCAGTATGTTTAGCACCACTTCTGTAGAAAATAAGGATAATCCATGCTTGAAAGGTCATAAAGCTCTTAGACTTCCAAACTGAGAGATCTCAGAAGTAAAGTTAAATGCTAAATCCTGCAAACATACTTCAAATTTTACATATATCAGTTCTGTTGGCTTCAGTGGTTTTACTGTTCTTAAGTTAAGCATATGAATATGGCTCTGAGAAATCAGGGTTTAGAGAAATGAAGCGAAATTTTAAAAATTGGGAAGATGAAAGGAAGCATAGATTCTGAGTAAAATGTGTATCCATTTAGATGCTTTTTTGAGTGAGTATGCACAAGTGTGCAAGTGCTGACTGAAATATGTCACTACATTATCCAGCCTCAATAGCCATCCAGATTCTTCTCACTGCTAGGAAGAGCAGTTTCAGGAAAAATCTAGTTCATCCTCTGTATATCTTGATCAATAATGCTCACAAAGTATGGACACTTCAGAGGATGTAGCTTTCAAACTCTACCAAGTCTCTCTTGAGTTTTCTAAGGGATGTAGAACTAAGCAGATGACATGTTCCCAACATCCAGGCTAATCCCACTGCTTAATTTCAAATATTTGTTCAAATATAGCACTAAAATTCCCCTGATAAAGTCTAGGAGAATCTAAAAATAATAGGACAACATATTTTCCTAGGCCTTTGCAGAAATTTTACTATTGCTGCTGATGATTTCTTTAAAACCAGCAGTCTGACATATACAATAATAATCGAAATATTGCGGTCAAGCAGTAAGAGTTTGATGAAGTTGCAAGAAAAAAATAACTTAGTGTTTTAAAAAGTATAGGCCATACACCCTCCATATAAAAAAATCTTTGATTTCTCTTTGGTTTCATAGAAGAATCAAATATCAGACTGGAACAGCTTTAAGGAAATTCCTGTCTTTTATAGGACATTTGCTAAAACTGGGATTAACAGAGCTAGGAGCCCATCCAGTGATTTACAACTACAGCTAAAACACAGATAAACAGAAGAAAGACAAAAGGTTTACATCAAAACCTTTGTTATCCAACTGAAAGCATAACTGGAACTTTTAGTAATACAAGGATTTTTCTCTCTCCCTGTAGGCAAATTCACTATTATGATTTGGAGAGCACTTGGCAAAGTCAACACACAAAGTCAATTCAGTTTTCTATGCCCAAGTATGTATTCAATAAGACAAAACTTCTACTGATTTTTGAGACAGTTTTTCTTGACTAAGGCACTAGAAATTGTGCTATGCTAATTACTCGAAGCCTAAATTATCTTACCACTAAGCACTAGGCTGAGCTACTGTGTTGCTGTAGTACATTCTAATTCATTTTCATATGGCTTTGATATTGTGCAGTATTTAATACAATTTAGTGCATTGTAGTTCACTTAAAGTATGTTAACCACCATTCAAAATGAAAGGGGGGGGCATTTTGTCATACAGGTTTCTCATATACCTGCGGCTTGCCAGAACACTTCTTCCAATATCTTGCAGTTGCCCATATTGTGGTGTGCATGTTGTACAGGACATATATTTCTTCAGTAGAACATGGACCAGAGAAAATCCTATCTCTAATAAAATATCTGGTCCCTATGCAAAATGTTTCCTAATGATGAAAGAGTAAGCTTCTGTGTATAGAGAAAATATTGGCTTCCCAATCAACCATCTGGTGTATAGTGGGAATGGTCTGAGTATCTTTCTCAGTTGGAACATTTGGAAAATGAATATACTGTTGCTACAGCTCAGACTGTTGGCCATGATGTTTGTGATAATGCTGTTGATTTACCAGATGTCCTGCAAATTCCTGGTGTGGTAGTGTTTCCTGCTCCTACTGAAGTCTTCATTATGTGATGGGTTTATGATTGCAGTCATTTCTCACAGGGTAGGAGGGAGCTGAGAACTGTGTCCAAGCACAGCATGGAATCCATCATCTACTCACCATTCAGTTTGCAAATCAAAATCTATACCAACATGTTGCTTCTAGATCTCTAAAAATTACATGGGAGTACATGTAAAGATTTGACTAATATCACTGGCATATTTTCTCATTTTTCTAAATCACTCAATGCCCAATACAGATGCTTACACATCTGTTTTCACGTAAGCATGCCCATTACTTTTCCCTACTTTCCGAGTAGCATATAGGAATACAAAGGGGAGTACTAAATTCTGTGTTTACTCATTATGCTCAAAAGTGTATCTGAGTTTTGAATGCTTCACCACTCTGCCCCTGTTCTGTAACAATAGATTAATGAAGATAATACATGATGTACAGCTGAGCACCTAGGCTCTGACTTAAGAAATTAACTCATCTCTTTTACTTTCAAAATGAATTAGCGCATGTGCTGCTTTCTCTTTTTGTTTCATGTTGTCAGTTCAGAGATGAGATATCTATTGGGGTTATCTATCTATTGATGGGGCTCTGAGTAACCTGGTCTAGTGGAACGTGGTGGAAGTAGATGATCTCTGTTTTAAGGTCCCTTCCAAGCCAAACCATTCTTTGATTCCATATCGGTACCTGTAGAGGAATCACAGAATCACAGAATAACAGAATATTCTGAGTTGAAAAGGATCCCCAAGGATCATCAAATCTAACTCTTTAAGTGAATGGCCCATACAGTGACTGAGCCCTCAACCTTAGCATTAGAAGTATAATGGAGGCCAAGGCACACAGAGACAGAAAAAAAGTGTATTACAAAAGACTAGTAAATAAATGAGTCTATTTTCATCTCAATACTAACATGCTCACCATTCTTGTTTTCATAATGTGAACACTGCTTAGTGAGCACACTTTGGCCATAATGGTACCTTTTAGGTCTGAAGTAAAAATGGTTATCACTGGTCAAGAAGAAGTCAGAAAATGCACAAGGACTTATAAATGCCAGGTTGGCAAACAAATATGAAAAAATATAAACATTATATTCAAGTTTAA